TTTCACAAGGAATTTTACCTCTTCCCAGCTCCAACTGCTAGGATGAAAACCACTTTTTTTTTTTCCCTTTATTTCTGCTCTTGTAGCTTTCTAAATAAATCTTAATTTTATCCTCAGCCAAGAACTTGGTGCTCACAGCTAATTTAAACCAGATACCGCTGTTTCTGGCTGCTGCTCTGCTCTTTCTGCACCTCCTGGGCTGGAGCTGGTGTCAGCTGCAGGTATTTAAAAGCCGTCTGGAAGTTGTGTTCCTGTGAACTAGGTGAAACTTCGAGCAGCACCTTGGAGATCAGCAGACAAACTCAGGCAGTTAAAAGACAGGTGACCTAGTCTGAATGGGAAGAGGTGACAGCTTTGATCTTTAGCAGGCAATGGGGCACAAGAAAGGGATGAGGGAGGTGTGGGAAGAGTTCATCAGAAGCAAATTACCACTCCTGTCAGCCTCATTGGAATTCACCACGTGGGAGAGCGGGGACTCTGCTGTCATCACTGCCCTTGGATTTATTTTTTTTAAGGGAAGTAAACAACTGTAAATTTCAGCCTAGAGAAGCTTGTGTAAGTGTCCCAGTAGTGTTTGGTAAACATGTTAAGGCAGGAGCCACAAGGAAAGTCAGATTTTTTTTTTTCCAAATAAACAAGTTTAACTTAATGAAAACTCGACATTCATATGTGTTGGGGGGTTATCCCAGGAGGCTCATTATCCCTAATTAGATTATTTATGAAGTAGCTGGTGTTAACTTTAGCTTGGTGAGGGAGAAGCTCTCATATTTAATTGCCCCCAAATTTCTTTTTTTTTTTTTTCCTGGGAACGCTTGGCAGGACTGTGAACATCTCTAGTGGCCAAGCTGTCAAGCAAGCTTTCCCTTTTCAAATGACATTTTCTCTCCCCCCACACTATCCAGGGCCAGTTTTGATTCTCTCTCCCGCTCAACACCTCCTCCTTCCCAGGCAGCAGTGGCCCCAGGAAGCCCTCCGGCACACCGAAAGCCGCGACTGCTTTCTGCCTGGGTGCCTTCCTGTCCTGAGGGCTCCGTGCCGAGATTTCCACCAGCAGAAATCAGTGTAACTCGGGTTTAATATAGCACAAAGCAGGGCTAATTTTGTTCGGGAACAGTCTGGAACGGCGTACCAAACGTTGGTTTTGGCCATATGTACTAGTGTTTCACACTCCTTCCACAAAAAAAATAAGCTTTGGCTCATAACGCCATCTATTTATACCTCATTTTTAGCCTATTTTTGAATTACACTGGCTAAGCAAAAACACTTTTTTTTTTTTCCTCTTATCTCATCAATCTAAAATCGCTATCCAACCCCAAAGGGAGCAGGGAAGTAAAGATTTCTTTTTAAATAGCAGTAAGAAAGGGATGGTTTATCAGAGGCATTTAAAAATATTAATGATGTAAACAGATTGACAAATAAGGGATGATCATTCTCTTTTCCACAGGCCAAAGTACAGCGGTGGCATCCTCCCAAACAGCGCTCAAGATGTTTAATTTCTATTTTAGTTTACATTTCACAGAAAGGATTTTATTTTTACATTATCTAAGGGAAGTGGATTTGTGAGTATTTGTTCTGTCCTTGCTCTCGCTTGCCATGCTGCCTTTTTATCTGTGTTGTTTTATTACACGTGGTCAGACACCTGAGAGCCTTCAGGAGTTGCGTATCTCATGGAGGCAGCAGCTTCCATTAGTATTTCAAGGTGTGGTACACCACACGCCAACTGAGCACTTGGTGTTTGGTGTCTGGAGTTTATAAACAAGATGACAAATGGAGAGCACTGGAGCCTGGAAAATGCGCAGGCTGAAACACGCACCTGAGTTGGGCTCTGCACAGCTCGACTTCTGAGGTACGGTGATCCTCCAGTTCGTGAATAGTGAGGGGTTAAATCCCGGCAGTATCCTGCAACCAGAAGAATCAGAGGCGTCAATTTCTCTTAACTAGGAACAAGGGAAGCATCCCTCTTGCCCTGACTACCCTGAAGCCAATCGCTTCAACGAGCTCGTCAGACAAAGTCCACGAGAACAGTGAAGCTTTTTCATTGAACTCCTTCCCACCCGATTCGCTCTGCACTCTGTCATGTAAAGAGGAACGACACGAAATGCATGGCTGGAGACAGATGGGGAAGACTGTACTTTTCAGCACTGACCCGCAGTCATACTGAAATAGCTGAAACACGAAACCGCACTCTGATGGCGTGGTTTCACCAGATGAGGTTGGGTGACCTGCCATTTTCACGGACAACACCCTCTTCCTCCCACCCCTTCTGCTCCTGGCTGCGTGCCCACGAGCAGCTTTCACGCACTCACCCAGCAGGAAACAAACCCAACGACGACAACAACAAAATTCATTTTTTGGGGGGCTTGTAATGGAGTCGAAGGGGCTCGTGGAAGCATACGACAAGCACCAAGGAAGATCCTAAGGGAAACTGAAAATCTGCGGCTGGGAGAGGAGCCAGCAGCATCTCTGCTTCTCAGGGCTGGCGAACCATCAGATCAGCTCAGCTGCTCACGGGTCTGTACCTGTAGAAATCAGTTTGCTCTGCAGATCGTCATTAAAGGTCCATTCTGGAAGAGAGAAGACTCAAGTTAAGTGCTTCTTAATAATATGTTCAATATACCGTTGAAAAGACCATCTGAAATCACAGAGCTCCGAAATGTCCAATAAACTCGCTGTGCATGGAAAGATGCATTCGTGGCCACACAACATAAAATCTTCTCAGACGACTGAAGAAAATGAGGGAACAATGCTTAGTTATTCAGGAAAGGCATACGCTTTAAAGGAGCAGGGCTGGCTCAAAACCAACACAATTATGAAAAAAAGTTTACTCAGGGGAAAGAAGGCCAAAAGCACTGAAGAACTGAGGAAGCAGAGGAACCAGCACGGGGGAAACAGAGGCTCTCTTGTTTTGTATGGCTGTTTCAGGAGCCTATTCAGCAAATCATCCACTTCAACCAGTGGGCCCATGGGGCAAATTTGGGGTTCAAGCCCATTTCACCCAGCCTTCCCCTTTGTCCTGAAGGACACAGCCTGAATGCCTTTCTGTGTCTCATTCCCTGATGCCTCTGCTCTCAGCCTGTCCTCCCACGTAGAGGCAGGAGCTCCAGTTCAGTCTTTGCCTGGGAACCTGCGTTTCACAGCCACTGCTGCATCCACTGGGGAAGGAAAGGGGCACCAGAAAACTGCCAGACGTCCGTGCTGCCTCGAGGAGGTCAGCGGTTTGGGAAGAAGGATCTGCTCCAGTGAAAGCCTGGTGGCATGGGTGGGCAGGAGGAGAGCTGCTGTCAAAAGAGGTCAGAAACCCAAAGCAACAGGTTCCTGGGCACCAGGATGGAGAGGGAAAATCAGCTTGCAGGAGCCTTCTACAACAGACATCCACTCCTTGGCCTGTCAAGTTCTGGCATCCAATTAATGCTGCAAGCTTTGGGTCTAGTGAAACTATTCTTACAGCCCTGAAATGTATTAGAGCTCCTTCAGGTCTAAATCATTCAGGTGCCAAAATGAATGTGAGAAAGGAAATGATTTAGCAGAAGGATTGCTTTATTTTCTGGAGCTGCTATTTCCTTCTGTTTCTGCACCCGTACAGACGCTCTAACAAATCAGTGAAGTGGATGCACAACCAGACAACATCACTGATTATATCGTTCCGTGAACAAAATCATTGAAACACTGGGAAAAAAAAAAAAAAAAAAGCAAGCAAAAGTTATTTAAAGAGTGGAACTATTTGGTGAGATTTTATCTATGTAGTATAAAGAGAATTCCCAAACTATCTGCAATCAGGACTCTGAGGGTTGTTGTACATTGTAAAAGAATTTTAAATAACTCTTGTTGGCAGAGTTATCTTCTTCTCAGGGTTGCCAAATCTCATTACTTTATCACGAATCTCATAATGCCGAATCGTTTATTCAAACCGCAATTTGAAGAACCGTTGATTAATGAGTTTCTTGCCTTTCATTTTTTTTTTCTTAATAAGTGTAAATTTCTCAGGGACATACTTATTACAGAAGGTAAAAAAGAAGATATTCAGAGTAAATACCAGAACAGCCAGAGATGTTATCGTTCGCCTAGTGCTTTCTCTCATCAAGGGAGAAGGGAATCTCTGTTTGCTGGCGGGTTTTGCAGCTGCCTGCTGGCAACAGAAGAATGTGGAGCCTGGGGACTCCGTGCTCTTCTGTGGAAGTGCTTACCCCTGCTACAAACCCTGGCCCTGGGCTCGTTTTCACTCCCTCAGCTGCCCTCCACTTCCCGTCTCCATGTCTTCCCATTACCAAAAGTTTCATGAACGTCAAAAATTCCACTGGCTTCACTTGCGACCCCACCCTGAGCTAGCGGCCTGTTGACAGCACCAGCCCCGATGCAGCAACATTGAAAGACACAAACGCCAAACAGTATTTTTTAATTAAAGCTCAGCTGCCTGCAGGACTGAGGGCAGGATTTGCATGTTTGCTGCCCCACTGTCTGATCACAGCACGTAGGCTTGGGTAATGGAGGCGGAGGTGCCGTTAGCCTCCATGGGGAGGCCGTGTCTCCTCTAGGTTGTGCTTATGGGACAGAAAGCCTAGGTAAGAGGTGCTCTTGACTCTGTTCTATATCAAGCTTGGGGTTTTGTTACATGTGCAGTGTCAGGGACTTAACTGTTCCCTTTGCATAGAGCGCCTAAGGGATTTTCAGACATCAAGCCCCTCAGACACTGAGGTAAAAACGCTAAGCCGCAAGCCCTTCCTTCGCCATTCGCTTCCTAAACCTTAAGAGTACATCTGAATCCCATTTAGGAGGCTTTTCTGTGGAAACCCTGGGCCCCAAAACGCCTCCAGCAAAGCCCCAGCTCCAGCAGAGGGCGCCCCCACACAGCCGCCACCCCTCTCCCCTCAGCGGAGCCATCGCTCCCCTCAGCCCCTTCCCGCCTCCCCTCCCCGCTGGGGCGCATGCGCCCTGCGCAGCTCCCCCCCGCCTCCGGCAGCGTAATGGCGGCGGCGGCGCCTCCCTCCCCGCGGAGCTGCCTTGCGCATGCGCCCTGCGCTCCTCCTCCTCCTCCCCCCCCCTCCGCCGCCGGCAGCGTAATGGCGGCGGCCGCCGCGGCGGTGGCGGGCGGCGGGGAGCGGAGCAGCACCCGGGAGCGGCTGCTGGCGGCGCTGGAGGACCTGGAGCTCTTGGCCAGGTACCGTGACCTGCCCCCGCTGCTGCCTGCTATGGGTGTGGGGATGTAGGAGGGAGCGGGGGGCGCGGGGGGCTCGGGGTAGGTGTGTGTTCGTGCCTCCTCCCCCTCCGTTTTTTTTTATTTTTCAATGTAAATCACGCTAAAGTCATAATTCGAGGTTTAAGCTTTTCTGGTTATTGCTAAGGCAGCGATAAAGGTGATTTCGGTGCTCAGGTGGCGGTCCCGGCTGCTATGAGGCCACGCTGCTAGCCCCAGCCAAGCTGGCCACCATGTTGTGTGTCCCGGCTGGCAGCGTAATTAAAACGGCTCCTTAATTACCTTCCTGCTCCCAACAAGAGCAGGAGCTTCCGAAAACTTTCCGAGGGAGCATCCCGTGCTGTCTGTGGGGCTGCCCCGCTCTCCACGGCCACCACGGGTGCCACAAGGAAACCATGCTGCAAAGTTGCTACTTGTCTTTCTAGTTAAGTTCATAATTAATTTCTAGTTATTTCAAGTTTTAGATTTTCTTGTGACGTGTGGGTTGCTGGAGAATGTCTAACCTTGGAAAAAAACACATGTGCTCTTTATCACAGCATTTTTTTTCCCACCTTAATCCTACTATAATGAAGCCATAGCGAATCCAGAGCATCCCTTAGCAGTGTTTTAGGCAATCCTCCTGTTGATCACTGGTGTCACAGCCCCATGGAGCTAAACGGTTTTGGTGTTTAGACCAAGATACTGTTCATGGCTTTACCGGTGAAGTATTTTTTCCGACTTTTTGGAAAGTACCTGTTGTCATTTTAAGATTATGACCCCACAACTATATTAGTCATATCTTTCTTGAGCTGCTTGCTCCAGCCCAAGCAAAGGGTCGGTGCTGTTCCAAGGACTCTACTTTGGATAAATAAGTACTCATGCACAGTGCTGTCCATAGCCTTAGAAATCAAACACATTTGTCAAATTTGCAGTGTGGTTTTGTTTATTGAATCCCCTTTGAGGTTCTTGATGGCTCTTCATAACAGTAAACAGGTACCATGAAGCAAGATCAAGAAGTTTGTTTGAGAAGCACTTCTCACCTCGCCCTAGGTTATTGCCAGTTTTCCAGTGTTTGTGTCTGTTTGATACACAGCCAATATACCATGGTGGAAATACCTGTTTTTATAGAAGCGGTTTCACAACAAACTTAAAATGTATGAAAGCACAGACTTAACTGCTGTAAACCCAAGTGTGATATTTGCTCTGCAGTGAAAGTGGAGGAAAAATGGAGAACAAAAATAATGTTGACAAATTAAACTTTCGTGCCCTCTTGCAACAAAGGCAGTAAAAGTAGGATATGAGAGTGTTTCTTTGTGCTGTTTTTTCTCAGCTTCTGCTTGTGTTTTATGCAGTTTGGCAAGAACTTAGCATGTTTTGAGTACAAATGTACAACTACTGCATGAGCTCAAAGAACAAAAAAGAGAACATTTTCCATTCAGGAAACTATTCACAGAATTACTTTTAGTTGCAAAATCGCTGCCGTCACCACAATATAAAACTGTAAAATACTCAAGTACACTAATGCTTTTATAATGATATAGATACTTTGATAATATGGGGATGTAATTTACAAATAATGGCTTAGAAAATTGCATAAACGCACAGTTTTCCTTTCAGGGAACTGATTGAAATTTTGGCAATTTCAAGAAATCAGAAACTTCCACAACCAGGAGAAGAGAGCCAGGTAAACTGACTTTATTAATTGTAATTCTTTGTGTGGGTGAGCACTATGATTTACTTCTTTTTTCCATTTTTTACTTTCTCCCTTTGTCCATGCTAGTATTCAGGCCAATAGTGATGCTGAGGCCCTACTAAAAAAGTTCTTGGTCCTCATGTTGGTGTTTGTTTGTTCATTTGCTGTGTGCTTCCTAGGTTGTTTCTGCAAAAAGAGCAAGAAATTCAGTTTCATTTTTCATGCAAACAGAAATATTCTTGTGGATGTCAGTTGTTCTTTACAGCACGATTGAGGGTATGTTGTTACTTGAGCTAATTAAAAGTTGTACAAAACTCTTGTCTAATAGATCCTGGAGCTGCTGATTCAGAGAGATGGAGAGTTTCAAGAGCTAATGAAGTTGGCAGTTGAACAGGGGAAAATCCATCACGAAATGCAGCTTTTAGAAAAGGTGGTAGAAAAGAGGGATAATGATATTCAGCAGCTGCAGAAGCAACTGAAAGAAGCAGAGCATATTCTGGTAAGTTCTTAATGATGTGTTTGCTTTTGAGCGCCTACGTGGTGAAAAAGATGGTTCTGGAGAAGGCGGTGTTGTGTTAGTTTGAGAAGATTTAAATATTTAAAACTTTGTGAGAGCTTTAGTGTTGTTATTTTTTTTCTTTCAGTAGTCAAATACTGTCTAGTTATCATGGTATTCAGTTTAGTTTTATAATGGTAATTTGCTTCCAAACCTACTTTATGCCTGTTTATTTTGAAAATGTTCCTTGAGTAGTTTCTCTCTCAAAATGCAATTAAATGCAACAGTTTATTCACAGAGCTGACTTCATGTAGAAATATGCAAATGACAGATGTATTTAAGTTTTGGTTATTTCTTTTTTTCCCTACAACTAGGCAACAGCTGTTTATCAAGCAAAGGAAAAGCTGAAATCAATTGAAAAGGCAAGAAAAGGTGAGTATCCATAATACACAAACGCAGATGTAAAGAAAGTTGCTAGTGAGCTCAAGTTACTTTTTTTTTAATATCGTCACCACAGATTTCAGATGTTTTGTCTATAAAACAAATTTCCACTTCATTATGAACCTGTAAACCATTTCAACAGAATAAAGGCAGAATGTGTTTTTCAGAAATGAATTATTTTCTGTGTCAAATGTATCTTAATATTAGACTTGAGTTCAAGTTTCTTGATGCCCTTCTTGGACTGTTAGTGGTGTATCTGCTTGTGTAAACATTTTACTGAAGGCAAATTGCCTCAGTCCAAATACTTAAATAGGGGAAAGAATTTGTGTGTGCTTGTATTTTATACAATAACATTGTATATGAAAGAGTGGTCATATGGTGGCACTGGTTTGTATTTGTATCAATTACTGCTACACTGTGGCACTTGCCAAGCTAGACTGAATTTTTGCTTTTTGGCATTTTGGTCTCGTTTACAGTACCTTTTATCATTTTGTCCATTTTCTTCTATAAAAACAAGGATTTTCATAAAGATTTTATTACCTGCAATACAGACACATGTATTAAATAAGGTGTGCTACATGTATAATCTACAATTACCAAAAAAAAAAAAAGAAATTTTAATTACTACAGAAAGTTTCATAACAGAAGTGCTGAATTGCACCATGAAAGAGGTTAGTTCGTGTTTTTTCACAGGGTTGGAGAGCAGTCAGTTGGCATGGAAAGCATACTGAACTCATGGCTGAAAAGTCAGTTCACTGCAACTCTCATTCTTGCGTAGCCCATGCAATCTTAGCAGCCATTGTATTCGAAGAACACTCTTGATGTTTGGCAAAATTGCACTTCTAATGTTTTCAATATGACAGTATCCAATGTTCTGAAATAACTGAAGAGTGCAGTCTCTTAAAAAATACAGTGATTTTCTTTCCTTTTTTCCAGGTGCCATTTCATCTGAAGAAATAATTAAATATGCCCATAGGATCAGTGCTAGCAATGCTGTTTGTGCCCCACTAACATGGGTACCAGGTAAATAACACTTTTTTCTGATAATTTTTTTAATAACAAAGCATGGTTGGTATTTGACCTTACAGTGTTTTAACATAATGCAATTTCTCACCACTGTATGTATTTTTTACAGAGGATGTCAGTAATCAGTGGGGATAGAAGTAGGGCTTTCATTGTGTTAGGTTATGTTATGATAGCTTTGGAAACCACCCACCCTGTCTAAAACGTTGTTTTTCCAATACTTCTCACAGAATTACAGGATAGTTTGGGTTGGAAGGGATGTTAAAGACCACCTAATTCCACCCACCACTGCCATGGGTAGGGACGCCACCTTCTAGACCAGGTTGCCCAAAGCCCCACCCAGCCTGGCCTTGAACACCTGCAGGGATGGGGCAGCCACAGCTTCTCTAGGCAACCTGTTCAGTGCCTCACCATCCTCTGAGTGAAGAATCTCTTAGAACCAATCTAAATCTCCAGTCTTCCAGTTTAAAATCATTAACTGTTGTCCTATCACTATGTCCTTGTAAAGTCACTCTCCATCTTTCTTAAAAGCTCACTGTAAGTACTGGAAGGCTGCCAGAAGGTCTCCCTAGAGACTTTCTCTTCTCCATGCAAAACATCCCCAGCTCTCTCAGCTTTTCTTCATAGGAGAGATGCCACAGCCCTCTGATTTTTTCTGTGACCCTCCTCTAGGTGTGCTCTAACAGGTCCCTGTTGTGTTTTTTATGCTGGGCGTCCCCAGAGCTGAATGCAGCAATCCGGGTGGAGTTTCTCAAGAGCAGAGCAGAGAGGGAGAATCACCTCCCTCACCCTGCTGGCCATACTGCTTTTGATGCAGCCCAGGATACAGTTGGCTTCCTGGGCTGCAAGTGCTCACTGAAAAATTGGATGTGAGCTGACAGCCAAGAGCACCCTACGGTTCTCCTTAGGGCTGCTGTCAATCTGTTCATCCCCTGTCCTTGCTGTTTAGCTGTGAAGTAGCAGAGACAGCAAAGTGATCTTCTAAATGTGGATTATTTTTTAAAATGTACTTTAAATTCTTAAATCCTTGTTCATTGCCAGGTGCCAGTGTATTTTAACAGAATATGGGTGATGCTCATTGCTGATTCAACCAGAGTACTTTTTTTTTTAAATCAGGAAACTAGGCACTGAAGAGAGAAAGATAACGTGAGTACGGCAATTGTTAAATAGTTTTTTTGTTTTGTTTTGTTTTTTCCTTTTCAAGGGGACCCACGTAGGCCCTATCCTACAGATCTAGAAATGAGGAGTGGCCTCTTGGGTCAGATGAACAACCCATCCACTAATGGGGTTAATGGACACTTACCAGGGGATGCCCTTGCAGCTGGCAGACTGCCAGGTAAGGAAAAAAAGGCTTCTCTTATATTACTGTCAGAACAAACATTACTTAGCAGTGGCAAGTCAGAGTTAAAATAACAAAAATTATGGCCAACGTCCTTCTGTAGCAGTGAAGGACTAGTCAATAGAGTTAACAGAAGTTACATCATTTTATTTCATGCTAAATCATACTGCAGACACTAGAGCTAAGTCAATATAAACAAAACTCGGTGTTCCTTCAAGTCTCTTGCTCTAGATTGCTGTAAACTAAGTGATATTAAATCACATCAAAATAAAGTGTTTCCAAAGCAACTTTGTCTCAGCAGTGATGACAATAAAATTGTGAAAGCTGTATTCAGAAGACAGGAGATCTATTGTCATCCACTGCTTTCCTTTAAGTTTACGTTCTGTGTAGCAAGACTGGTTAGAATTTCTGGATTGAAAAGCCATTGGCAAGGACTGCTGGTGAGGCAGTGCCTTGAGTGTAGGAATTAAGGTTTAATCTGTTAATTGCTTAGTGCATTGCCTAGGGCATTTTCACTGACTTTGGTGGGATTCATTCATTTACGTGATAATATAATTTAATGGTAAATGACAGTAGCTTAATGAAGAATTCAGTAGTTCTGTTGCTCTGCAGCATTAAGTTACCATGGATTGACTAAATTGTGGAAAAATTCTTAGTCTGGATTCAGAGGAGATCTGTAACAGTTCCTGCTGTCTGTTAAGCCTGTTGCAGGTGTTATGAAAAGCTTGTTTTCAAAAATTACACAAAAAATATTAAAAAACAAAACAACAACAACAACAAAAAAACACAAAAACAACAAAAACAACAGAAATGCCTATATTGCAACTCCACTGGAGAAACAATAAACTTGGAGTTTGTGTTTCCAATCACCTAATCCTCATGTCACCTCTTAGAAAGTCAGTTGAAGTTCTGCATCATCTCCCTTTCTAAATCCCTGGCCCTTAATACAATAGGGAAATCTGTAGGATTCAAGTCAGTGAGCTGAGGAGAAGGAACGGGGCCCTGAAGTCTGTTCACAGCAACCCATCAGGGAAGTGCTGGAGATGGGTCTGTGGTCAGAGGTGTCAAGATTGTGTCTTGTAGCACGCTGTAATTTGGATGTTTCCCTAAATTTTAGTACAGCCCATTTTGGCTGGCTCCTCTGTGTTATGTCAGACTTGCTCTTTTTGTTTGAGTGTCGTCTCTGTTAGAACTGAAAGCTCACTCCTGTGGGCTTCTTCTTGAGAGGCTGGAAAAAGTGGGATTTGAACTCAAGGAAAGGAGTTGATTGAATCTGGGTCTCCTGTGTCAGGGGAAATCCTCTAATTACCAGACTGTCAGGTAAGAGGGAAAAGCCTCGATTTAAAAGAAAGAGACTGACACAGCATTTTGCGTAGGGATCCTGAATCTGCTGCTGTGTGGCAGGCATGTCCTGACAATGCTAATTATGGAATTCAGTCCTTTCAGAGACTTCTACAGAGAAATGCCCAGTTGCTGAGTCCTTTATGAGCCTGCGAGCCAGCCACTGGGCTGCTGAGTATCCTCACAACTCCGAGGCTGTTCAGTACACGCTTTTAACCAGGTTTAGTGATACTTTAATTCTGGTGTTGAAAACATGGCTGCAGGATGTAAAACATCAGTTTACAGTCTCAGCTGGTTTAAATGAAGTTGGCTAAGGTCACAGCTGGGTTAAAACCACCTGGTGCTATTGTTGATTTTCCTAAAGCAGGCAGAGAACTGGCATACAGGCTGTGTTGTGGCCTTACATCTGGTGGTAAGTCAGATTTGTGCAGCGAGATAATGCAGGAATGCACACATCTGGTACTAGGGGACTGTGTAGTACCAGATGTGGAATCTCAGGTGTCTGGAGGCTTCAAGATCAGAAGCCACTCTTGTGTGCAAAGTGAGTTTACTGTACGCGACCTCCTGCCTTGGCAGGGCCCTCCCTTTCTGTCCTGAAAGTCCCGTTTGGGTAGGTTTTTGTTCAGTTTTGGCTCTAATTACCTGTAATTCCTTCTGTAAGGAAGAGATACCTGCTTGTTATAGGACTGTCTTCTCCTTGGTGCACCATATTTGCTGTTGGAAAAAGAATAACCAAAGGTGTTTAACCCAAATTCAGGCAAAACCTGAGTCTAAATTTCTGTGATCTCCCTTACTTTTTTTTTATTTATTTAATATTTTCATCTATTTTTGCATACTGACAGGGTGGCCATTTTCATTGCTGCTGGTGCTTGTGCCTGTTAAGTCAGCTCTTATAGAGCTTTTCATCTTCAAAGCACCGTTTGAATATTAGTGTTTTGACGTGGAGTGATGAGAGATTGAGCCACTTACAAAAATGGGCCACTCTGGCTGAAAAGGCTTTTACGGAGATAGAATGGCTCCACCATGAGATGTTTTCCAGGTGTTACTTGCGTGTTTCAACTGTCCAAAAATCAGTCATGTTTTTAAGATTTGGTTTTAATTTTACACTGGAGTTCTGTATTTGATTTGTAGACATACAAAGCTGATATTTGATTGACTTTGCCCCTTGTTTCCAGACGTGCTCGCTCCTCAGTATCCTTGGCAGTCAAGCGATATGTCGATGAACATGCTACCTCCTAATCACAGTAATGACTTCATGTTGGAGCCTCCAGGACACAATAAAGAGAACGAAGATGATGTAGAAGTTATGTCAACAGACTCCTCGAGCAGCAGCAGTGACTCAGACTAGGTGCAGAGGGACAGTATCCCTACTAGACCTTTCCTGTGGTGAAGGTAGGTTGGATGCTGTTAGTCACAGAATGCAATACCCTTCGGTTTTGCTGGCAGTCCCGTGCAAGGAGAAGATGCAGCTGGCTCAAAAAAGGAAGGGTGACTGATCTAAAACCATGAACTTGATATTTTTTTCCCCCATTAGATGCTCAAGTAAAATGGGAGCTTTCTGCTGGAGGAGCGATGTCAAATTTCCAGTGATTATGTAAATGTGTGAATGTGTATGTATGCAAGAGATGGGCACGTGTATATAAATATTTACTATATGTTAGGTGATAAAAGTTCCTGGGAAAAAAGGTGTAAGGGGAATCCCCTTGTATGTTTGTTAGTAACTTCACTCTTTTGATGATAGCCTTTTCTACGGCACAGAAATAAGGCATAAAATTTGTAATTTTAATATCTTTTTTGTTACTGCTGAAATCCATGTTCTTGATCGTCTACTGTGTTCTGAGAACAAAAACACGGCAGCAAGGTGCAAAAAAAAAAGTTTGTAATTATTGTAATATATAATGAATGGTTTGTCATAAATAAACTCACCTTTGATGCTACTTTGTTGCATTTTGCTAACTTTAATCTCAGATGTGGTAACTTCATTAGTCAGCACATTTTGTGCCAGCATTTTTTTGATTTCTGATTGAGTTTCAGAAGTTTGTACTCCTTTTTCCCCTTTGCAAAGTGCTGTGTCAGTATTAGAAGCAGCTGAGCAGTCAGCAGCTGAAAGCCTCTCATTTCCAGCTGAGCTTAGCGAGTACACACCTAAAAGTACGGATCCTGAGGCAGTGGTGTGACATGCCAGTTTGCAAGACCTCACTGATACTTTGGTTGGGCATCCTGGAGATGGTGTATTGGGTTTATATGGTAACGTTTTGGTAGTGGAGGGCCTCAGGGGTGGCCTTTGTGAGAAGAATCAAGCAGGAGGTGCTCCAGGCAGGCAGCAGCAGTTCCCCTGCAGCCTGTGGAGAGGCCCCTGGTGGAGCAGGCTGTCCCCCTGCAGCCCATGGGTCCCACATGGAGCAGATCTCCACGCTGCAGCCCCCCCATGGGTGGAGGAGCCCCCGCTGGAGCAGGTGGCTGTGGCCTGGAGGAGGCTGCGGCCCATGGAGGGCCCCCACAGGAGCAGGCCCCGGGCCGGAGCTACAGCCCGTGGAGAGGAGCCCACTCAGGAGCAGGGGGCTGGGGGGAGCTGCTGAGTCTGTTTTGCCTGTGATGATAATTGTTGAGTGATCTCCCTGTCCTTATCTCAACCCCTGAGCCCTTTCCATCGTATTTTCTCCCCCTTTCCCTTTGCAGCAGGTGAGTGAGAGAGCGGTTGTGGTGGAACCATGCTGCCCAGCTGAGTAAAACCACCACAGATGACGTGCTTTGGGGCACGCTGCAGGTTCAGCTACTTTCAATTTGAAGTACTCACAGATTCTTTATTCTTATCACCTATAATTTTTCTGCAGTTCTTAGAAGCTAATTTGTTTCCCTCAGCTGTACTTCCTGCCTCAGCTATAGCGTTCTTTCATCTTTCCAGAGTCACTTCCCTTGGCTTTCCTTTCCTTGTTCTGTTTTGCTTAGGGAGTCATATGATGACAGCCACTTTTATTTTTCTGATTTTATCAGAAAGTTACTTATGCAAACTGTTGCTCGTGCCAGTTAGAGGTTTCTCCCCTGCAACAAGGCTACCAGATGCACAGATCAGAATTCTCTCTTACTTTTTTTTATACTACTTGCAGGAAATTCTGGTAATCAAGTCCGTTCTTATTTGTTTAGGCAGTCTTCAGTGATGTCAGTAATGCTACCAGACAACTGACATATGTACAAGTCCCATGGGGATGTAGAAATGAAAACGACCTCTTCAGTTAGGTTCAGTCACATAACATTGGGCAGTGGATTTTGTTTTAAAAGGGAGATGGGGAATTTGGTTTTGTTTTAGCTACTCCTTTTGAAAATATTTTCAATTTCTAAGATTGCATCTCTATTTTGCAGTCTCAAGTGATGCATATACATAGATATTTTAACTTCTATGCCAGTTTCATCTTTTCCTCTTTGGTGTTTACTCCTCCCATGTCTCTATAGGGTAACTATTTCCCCTTTAATATATGTTAATCCAAATGTGCTTGGCCTTCCTTAATTACCCTAATTAACCTTGCTAATCCCCATTCTACCTCAATTTTTTTCTTAAACATGCATGATCAAAATCATACATAATATTGCTGCTTTGTGTTTTCTTCTAAAGGCACCTCCTTTAACGTGTTACAGCACAGCCACAGCTCACCAGTCTCTTTCACCTTCTTTAGAAGCAGTTTTTTTCTTGGAATGAAATCCAAATAGAAATAATTAATACTTGTGGGAAGTGTTGTGTACAGTCAACCCGAAAAGTCTATGTCCATATGTGATTCACTAACTGAAATACTGTGAAGTTAGATGATTGTTTCCAGATACAAATAAGAAGGAACAGAAGCAAGACTCTCAAGAAATGACCACACGTTTTCCTGGGTTGTTTATTAAAGGATTAAATGGGACCAGTGAGTTACATTTACGAAGTAGGTAAGAAGTCAGCTCTTCCCACTGGCCACTTCAGTACATAAAATGAGACTTGGCTGTTGGGTTGCATCCTAGATAAAGTTTCATTGCATCAGTGCTCCAAACTATGTACTTACTCTTCAGCAGCATTTTACTGAAAGGTGGGTAACTAATGCCACAGTTCAGGTGAATTCTGTCTATGACAAGCAATGTAACAAACCTCAAAGGTTTAATGGCATGTTGTTACTCACTTGCTTAAATGTACCAAAAATCTAATTAAACCTAGAATTTAATTGAAAGGAGCAAGTCTGAAGAGCTAGAAAGACCAAGCATCAATTTTTTGAGTGTGTGGGAGGGTGTGTGGTGCGGGAAGGACAGATGCAAAATGCATTCAGAACGAGGCAAGTCGGGGATTGTTGACAACTGATTGTGGTAATGTGCTGTCATTTAATCAGGCCGCTTAGCAAGGATACAGTAATTGACATATGGAGATGTTATCTGTCCTAATTTCAGAAACTTCTTGCCTGTTTACAACACACAGAGTGAATATAGTCATTAACTGTAACAAAATATTTTTTGCAATACAAACGATTTTACAGTGACCTGGGTTTTCCCATCAGGACTTAGATACCTTTTAAAATTTAAAACAGCACTAAATTGTTTGAATTACTATTTTTTTTTCCATTATTCTTTGGGACAGATGGGCTGGACATCTGTCGACTCTTCCTACAGCCTCTTTGTTGACAGCTGAATAGAATAATTTTCAGTGTACATTAAGTTGCTTTTGGGAGGAAAATCTCCGCTTTTGAATTCAACAGAAAAAATGTTCTGTACAAAGATAGGGCTGTGAAGAAAGTTTCACTGATATCTTCCATTTCAAAACTGCTTTTTAACCACAGCTACTTTCTTAGCTTCACGTTGTATCTGTTGGAAGGGAAGTTGCCCATAGTTAATGCTTTGAATTCAACACAGGAGCCTTGCAATCATCATCAGCACCCTTATACTTTGTATCACTCTGCCTGTTTCACAGGGGAGAAACTTTCTTAAATGGAGATGGCTCTGTGTAAAGTAAGGAAAAGCTTTAACCATTCAATCTCATTTCCTTTAAGAATTGACGAGCCAATTCACAATTTCAGACAATTTTAATCTTCCAATATTGTTTATTTAAAAGAAATTAAATGCATATCAGATCATTTTTACAATGAGTATATTTAATGGAAAAAAAAACTGTGTTCCAAAAGAACCCTAAATAGAAAAAGATGAAAGCAATTCTGATTTTTTTATTTGTAGTCCATCCTTACCCTAAAATTAATGGCTGAAATCCTAATGACCAGATCAAATTGTGTTAGATGGTAGAAAAATAACATTTAAATTCATTGGTTTTGTGTGCGTATGCACATATGTCCCTTCCTTCTCTACCAATTTAATCATCTGTTCATATCATGCTGAAAATTAAGAATTCTATCAAGCCTCAGCTGTAAAGAATGACACCCAACCATACTGTATAATAGTGACAATCCTATTCAGCAGAGAAGTGCACCTGTCTGACGTAGTTACAGCTATAAATGAGATTAGTTTTCACAGTGTTAGTTACATCAGCCTGGCAGAACACTGTAGGCACCTCTCCAGTAAGGTGTTAAGTTCTATGGGCAGAAGTGAACATCAACCACAGATATCTTTAACACTTCTGCAGATGAATTCTCATGTCACTGAGGTTGCCAACAGCCCTCTGTGATGAAAGGCAGTGGCAGGAAGGGTCAGAGAATCTTCATTCCCTACCAGCCAGGGCAACTTTTTGTGTTCATAATACTGTGTTTTTCAACTGTCTGCATGAAAATGAGGTATTCTCTGGAAAATGAGATTTTTCTTCAGTATGGATGTTGACAGTATATTAACTGAAGTCAGGATATGAGGCAAAATTTAGAAATTGGCCCAAGATTTATAATGAGAGGAAAGCAGCACGATGTACCACGCAGCTTTACACAGAAAGCAGGACAGTGGCTTAAATCACCTTCATTTAGGCACGACGCTGTAACCATTCCCAAGCTTCTCCGCAGGGTTTGGGTGACTTCCAAAGGGCTATCCATCTCCATGAAGACATACCAGATAAAACATGATGACTTTTATAGAAAATAAAGCATGAATCATTAACAACGTTTGTTGAACTGCTCGCCCTCAAGGAATGACGACAGGGGAGGATGGGCTGGAACACCGGGCAGTTTTTGGTTGTACTAAGGGTGCTGTTTTCACCTGGGTGAAGATGAAGCAGCTCCATCCTACGCCAGCTGGTGGCTGCCCGTGTACCCCTGCAGGTGACCCAGCTCCTCGCTGAAAGGGTTGTAGCCCTGCTCCCTCAAGCACCGCAGCGCCCAGAACAGCTGCTCCGCGGGGGGGAACTCATCCCACTTCACCCATTCCCATCCTGTAGAAAAAAAAAAAAATAATAATAATTAAAAAATTAAAAATAAACGAGCAAAAGGGGAGGGATGCAGGGAGGGCGGGGTGTGCACCCCCCAGCGCGCCAACTCCCTCTGGCCACGCCCACTCAGCGTAGCCCCGCCCACCCCGCGTGGCCACGCCCCCTATATAAAGCCCCGCCCCCGCCCCTCTCACCCTCATTCTTGTCCGGCTCGCTGTTGCGCGGCTCCGCCCCCGGCTCCGCCTCCCCCTTCATCAGCACGGTGACGTAGTGGTAGCCGGCGGCCGGGCAGGCGGCGTTGACGGCGGAGGCGAAGCGCAGGTTGCGCAGGCGCAGCGCCGCCTCCTCCCGCGCCTCGCGGGCGGCGCACTCGGCCAGGCTCTCCCTGAGGGAGGGGAATCGGGGGGGAGCCGTGAAGATGGCGGCGGCGGCTCCCTCATGAAGGGGCCGTGCCCGTGCCCGCCCTCCCCCGGCTCCCCGCCGCCCCCTACCCGAACTCGAGGTGGCCGCCGGGCAGCTGGTACATGCCGCCGCCCAGCCGGCCCTTCCTCTTGCCCAGCAGCACGCAGCCGGGGTGCGCGGGGCTGGTGATCACCACCCCGACGCCGACGCCTGGCCGCGGGGGTTGAGCTGCGTCGCCCATGGGAGCAGTGAGGGGAGGGGGGGGGAGGAGATGGCGCCCTTCCTCCTCCTCTTCCTCCTCCTCCTCTACCTCCTCCTCCTCTTCCTCCTCCTCCTCTACCTCCTCCTCCTCCTGGGTGCACGCATGCGCTCCCCCACATGGAGGGGCGAAGCTCCCTGAGGCGGAGCCTCCGCACGGCCGCCCCTCGGCTTCCTTCTCACGGATCAAGGGCGGGGAGTTGAGCAAAAAACACTTAAAAAGCTTCCCAGGCAGGCAAATGAGGGCTTTCCTAAAATTTCCTAAAACAAACATGAAAATCCCACGTGCATACACATCCACCTACTGCAATCAGTGCCAAATGTTCTCCAGTTCAAGATCTGGACGAAATGAAGTGGCTTGATACATGAGTCCATGGTTTCAGCTGGACGAGGGTCAATTAGAAATCGTTTAAAACAAAATTACAGCCATAGCTAGGCAGAATAACAGTTCCTTACTAATAAAATCGAATAAGAAATTAAAATCTGTTCATGCAAACACTTTTACCTTCGTTTTCCTTCTTTTTTTCTTCCAGAATGACTATACAGCATATAAGGAAAAAAAATATTTATTTAACTTATGTTTCTTACAAACAACTGCAATATTTGCCAGGCTAAGATTTTCCCCTTCACCAGCATATTTATCACAACAAGAATGTGAAGTACTTTATCTTTGCAGGACTTCAACATATATATAGATATGTATATATATATATATTATTTTTTTTTGGTAAGGTTTTGAAATTCATTTTTATAGATACATTTTTATTTATTTATGAAGGTCATGTGGCCAAACTGACTGAAAATTGGTCACTGCTTCTAGAGGGATTTGTTTAGTTGCCAGAACTGGATCAGTCTGGCATCAAGCGAGTCCCCGTGTTGGCACGCTGGAAATGTCAGGAGTATGTGGCTGGGTTGTCCTAGAAGTAAGGCTGCCCTTTAACAGCAGTTGGCTCTTTTATTTAGCTGTAATGTTTGTTTAGCCCACACACTGAATGACAGGCATTAGTACATTAATAATAATAATAATTAAAAAACAGCAAAATCCCAAGCTAAGTGGCTTTGTAAACTGAGCTCATTCATTTATATCTTGTCTTCCAGTACAACTTGAGTGTCTTATTCTCCAGGTTAAATGTCAGTCAGCTATGTAATTTGCGTGTTGACAAGATGATAATCTTAAAAAAAAAGACTCCTCCATTAAGCTAATTCTGGTAGAGTATATTAAAAGACCAGCACTACATCAACAAGAATCAAAATGGTATTTGTGTCAAATGTCAACCATTTTCATGTATCTTACTCCAAGCACCATTTAGAAATGAGTTTGAGGATGGCCCACTACCACTCTGCTCATACCATTTAGCCTATAAAAAATACTTGTATGTTTGTTATGCTTGTTGGAATGGTAGCAGGATGCCATTTCTTACAAATATTTTATTATATGTATAACATGTAAAACCAAACCAAAAGAAAATCAACACAGAATCACAGAATGATTTAGGTTGGAAGGGACCTTACAGATCATCTGGTTCAGATTGCCCTGGCCCAGACGCAGCACCTTGCACTTGGCCTTGTTGAACCTCGAGGTTCACACAGGCCCGTGTCTCAAGCCTTCCCAGGTCCCTCTGGATGGCATCCCGTCCCTCCAGCATGTCGACCACACCACTCAGCTTGGTGCCATCAGGAAATGTGCTGAAGGTGCACTCGATCCCACTGTCCATGCCACTGACAAAGATGTTAAACAGCACCAGTACCAGTACTGACCCCTGAGGAACACCACTCGTCACTGATCTCCAGCTGGACATTGAGACATTGACTGCAATTCTTCAAGTGAAACCATCCAGCCAATTCCTTCCCCACAGAGTGGTCCATCCATCAAATCCATGTGTCTCCAATTTAGAGACAAGGATGTTGTGTGAGACAGTGTCAAAAGTCCTTATAAACATCTGTAGTATTTGTCATTGTCCTTATAAACAATTGGATTATTTGTCAGTGAGCTAAGATTTCCCCCTTCCCTCTAGCAGTCTATTGATCACAGGGAGGACATGTCCTTTCCTTTGCAGGGCTTCAAAACAGATTTTTTTGGGAAGTTTTGGAAATAGAAAAAAAAATATCTCTGAGGTTTTGCACAGATCATGAAAGAACTATAGAATGGTATTTAGTGTGATGGTGAAAGGACATCCACTGTATAAAAGAGATGAGAACAAACCAAGAATAAGAAAGTCAAAATGCATCTTCTACCTTAGTAATATGTAGAAAAGCTTGCAAGACTATGATTTACATGCTCTTGCAATCTTGTTTATTAATACTTCACCTGACGGTACTGATGTGCACTACATAGCTAAAACTGTATTTAAACCAGCATGGGTCTGCGCTACTATTGAAAGAGGCACCTGGTTTTCAGACCCAAGCACTTGTTCCGTGTTCCTCATCCTGGTACTGTTAGGGAAGTGGCTGTGCAGTGAATCGGATGAGTGAACTAATCTGGCTGCCAAAAAAATCCCATTTTGGTGAAATTGTTTTTCAGCATGCTTTGGGCAGCACAAGGAGGGGATAGAATATAGTAGATCAGATTAAACATAGCAGGAAGCCAAACCTAACTCAGCAAACTGTGAAAAAAAAAAAAAAAAGACTATTATTTAACAGGATTGGTTCCCTGATATGATTTACAGCTCAGGTACATGAATGATTGAATTGGCACAGAGAATACGAGCAGCTGGGAACAAGAATGATGGAACTAACCATGTTAGTGACAGGCAAGATTTATGTCGGATTGAAATGACTATGCAGCCGTTCCTTAAAAGCGCACATGCAGAAACCAAGGCAGAAAAGCACACACTGTACAGAACAGAAATCATCCATCTTCTGAGACTCTCACGCGTGCGGTTCCCGAGCTGTGGAATTTACTATATGTTCTCATTCGCTTAGCAGAAGTATGACCTGGAAGGCACAGGGATTATGTTTAAAAGTTTTACATTGCAAAGCTGGCACTGAGCAGCTGGGTGGAATGTAACAGCAGTGCCTTACATCAGAGTCCTCCCAGCAGGCTGAAACATGAGCTTGAAAGATGTGTGAAGTCTCCCTCACTTGCATTCAAGTAGATAGTTGTTATCCTGAAATTATATATATTATATATAATTAAAATGTAACGTGGTTAACTGCTTCATCACTAGTACTGTATCAGAAATATTTCAGTGTTTATTCCATAATCTTGACATCTCATCACACTTCTACTAAATTGTCGTCTTTTAGCCTTACATATAAATCATCCCTTACTGTCATGCTGCACCTTGATAGAAATTAGCACCAAAACTTAGGAAATATTTGGTACCTTCTTTTTAAGTTGAAACATAACCAAGTTCCTATCACATGCAAATCTTAAAATCCTGTACTTTATCTGGGTGAACAATTGCCTGATGGATCTGACCCAAAGGGTTATAGTAAATGGGGTTATGTCAGGCCAGCAGCCAGTCACTGGTGAGCCTCCTCAGGGCTCCATTCTGGGGCCAGTTCTCTTCAATGTTTTTATAAATGACCCAGGTGCAGGACTGGAATGCATAGCAAGCAAGTTTGCAGATGATACTGAATTAGGAGGAGCTGCTGACTCTGTGGAGGGTAGAGAGGCCTTGCAGAGATCTTGGCAAATGAGTGGGCTGGCAATCACCAGCCACATGAAGGTTAACAAGCACTGTATTCTGCACCTGGGACAGGACAATCCTGGGTGCCACGGTGTAAGGAGGGCACAAAGCTGTCAGTGCCCAAAGGAGCTGCTGAGGTCCCTGGGTTTGCTCAGCCCTGAGCAGAGCAGGCTGAGGGGAGGCCTCATGGCGGCCTGCAGCTCCCTCACGAGGGGAGCGGAGGGGCAGGCGCTGAGCTCTGCTCTCTGGGGACAGCGACAGGACCCGAGGGAACGGCATGGAGCTGGGACAGGGGAGGGTCAGGCTGGGAGTTAGGGAAAGGATCTGCACCCAGAGGGTGGTCAGGCACTGGGACAGGTTCCCCATGTCAGTGGTCATGGCACCAAGCTTGCCAGAGTTCCAGAAGTGTTTGGACAACACTCTCAGACACATGGTCTGATTTTTGGGTGGTCCTGTGTGGAGCCAGGAGTTGGACTCAATGACTCTTATGACCCTTTCAACTTGGGATATTCTATTGTTCTGTGATATTACTGTGCAGAGAGTTGGCTCCCACCTAATACAGCAGCGAGAGCAGTCCTTGGATTTGAGAGCTCAAGTGAGTCTCCTGGAGACTTACTTTGATCTGCTATTGTAGAGTGATAGGATGAGAGGCAGTGAGAGTAGTAGAGCACCACAGCAGGCTGTTCAGAGAGGCTGCACAATCTCTGACCTTGGAGATACCGAAAACTCGAGTGGACATAGCCCTGAGTGATCTGCTTGAAGTTGGCCCTGCTTTAAGCAAAGAGTGCCATGAGGGGAGCGGAAGGGGTTGGAGCAGTTGGCCATTCCAACCTAAATTATTGTGTAATTCTACTCTGGCAACAGATAAGATTTCTTCTGAAAAACTTACGTACTCAGTACTTGCAAAAATACAGAAAATTGGGAAAAGGTCTGCACTTTTGGATTTAAATAATGATTTCACCTGTCAGAACTGGGAGGTAGTTTTGCCTCAAATGAAAAATCGGGACTATGCCCTTGCCATGTTCAGTATAAGCAGGTGCATTTAACTCACCTTCAGAAGTGAGTGTTCAGTCAAAAAAATCCTCATACACTCCGTAAAGCTGAGACGTGATCTAATAAACTATCATCAGGTCCCTCCAAGAGATGGTGATGATGAGAGAGTATCTGATATCCATGTTTATTAGAATTTCATGATCGGCATTTTTCCTTTTTTTCTCTTCAAGTTTGCTATCTTAAAAACATGAAATTGCACTCAAGGCATGCATTATAGTAAAAAGGTTGCAAAGCTTTATACTTGAAAGTGCCTATGCTAATGTTACCTATATGTTTAATTTCTCGTATATGGGAGTCCAAAAGTAAAATAGTATCTGCTGTGGGCAAAACAAGCAGAGAAACCAAATGGAGTTTGTTGTTGTTGCCTTTCCCATTTAGATTCAATCATTAAATCG